GTGTGTGTGTGTGTGTGTGTGTGTGTGTGTGTGTGTGTGTGTGTGTGTGTGCACGTTTTAGGGGATGGGAATGAGTGTGTTTCTGGAGTGAAGGTAACAAATGCTGGGGGCAGTGCCTGCCCGGGCAGGTTTTTTTTTTCCTTCTTCTCATTTCACCCCCCTTTTCGTGTTGCAGGGCAGAGAACAGAGAGGAAATTCAAACCAAAATAACCTCTGTGCCCTTGCCTGAGAATTGCCCCCCCCCCCCCTGCAGTTATCCCCTTCGCTCTGAGGGAAAGGTCATGCTAAGGCACTTGGGTGGAGTAGAGGGGCTGGGGTTGCAAGGAGCCTCAGTTCCCCCCCCACTCAATATCTTACCCCGAGGCATGGATAGATGGGACAATACCTCCGTCAGCTCCTTTATGTACTCGATTACGTCTCTTGTGATCACACTGTAAAGTGTAATAGTATCTTTATTTTTGGTGTCAGACTTAATTAAGTTAGCTGTGATTTTCGACACTGACCTGTGTGTGCTTAGTGGGGAGCTTTAATGTCCTTTGGGTGCATCCTCCTTTAACCTTTTCTCATCCTCCTTTTATTTATTTATTTATTTATTTATTTATTTATTTATTTATTTATTTATTTATTTATTTATTTATTTCATCAGAATGTTTCTTCCTGGTTTGCAGCGGGTGTTTTGTGCTGACAGAGCCTCACGCAGGAGCGGAGCGGGAGTTGTTGTGCGAGAGGAATCTGACCTGATGTCACACACTGTCATAGGAGCTGAAGGCCTCTGGGTGTTTTTGTCAGGCAGCGGAGCCATCTGATTGGTCTGGTTTGTGCTCGGAGAGGACGGGGTCGCGCCCTCGGGAGCCCGAGGTCAAAGGTGAAGTGTTGTCATGGACGTATAGGGATCGGGATAGAAAGGGCACAGGCCCGACCGCGTGAGACGCTGAGCCCTGGGAAATCATTGTGATGGCAGGAACTCGCACCGAAAAGGCGCTTTGTGGACTCAAAAACCCCTTTGACATACTTTTTTTTATTCCCTTCTCTTTTCTTCAATTTGCATGTCAGCCTCAAAGATGATTGAAATTCCTTTTAATCGCTTTTAAAATGAATTTTAATAATTAATAACAATTAATACTGAGCTGGTTAGAAAATAAAACGGTCTCTAAGCAGCCTTTGTTTACCTCCCTGTGTTGCTTCGGGCGTGCTGACTGTGTGTGTGTGTGTGTGTGTGTGTGTGTGTGTGTGTGTG